AAGAATATCAATATTAACAAATGAGATATAATTTAGGCAGAAAACGTCCTATTGATAAATGCATTTGTACATAATATAGATATGAAGTCACGATTCATATATACTTTCTGTTTCATTCGACAACGATTGTGGTCACATGTGGCTTCATGGTATGTATACTTGCTTCTTAATTGCTAGTTCACTTGCTCTAATCTCATTTCTATCGTTTTAGATAAATCAACATTTCAACCTTCCGTTCGCCTTTAGTGAGGTAAAGACCATCGTTAGGGGATATCGATGGCGACTCAGTTCAAACCTGAGACGGATTGCAATATTTTTTTAAAATCTTGAATGTCGAATCGAACGCGTTTAGACGCGATTTAATTTGTAATCGCGTCTAACCGCAATTTGGTTTGGAACCGCGTCTCCAATGAAACATTTCTTGCGTCTAGCCGCGGCTGGAGAAAACCGCGTCTAGACGCAATTTGTTTTAGAACCGCGTCTCCATTGAAACATTTCCTGCGTCTAGACGCGGTTTTTTACAACCGCGTGTAGACGCGATTTTCTCCAACCGCATCTAGCCGCAGCAAATGTTTCACTGGGGACGCCTTTTTTGCGTTTCTTCGCTGGGATTGAGACGCAACGAAACGCAACTCAGACGCGTTTTTATCAAAAAAATATTTACATGGGTTATTAATAAGATTCGGTGATAACGGATACCATGGGTAAATTTGAATATAATTTTCTACGCCATGCAACCAACTGATTGGAAATGGACCTATATCAATCATTGAGTTTGTTCTATACCAACAATCGTTCTAAAAAACATTTATTTTGGAGAGAAAAACAAGGAAAATTGTTTTTTTTTACTTTTGTGAAGTACGGAAAATCAGGATTGAAATTAAATATTGTATAACCCTGCGAAGCTGGCTGAAATACGATTCATGATTAATCTTTTTTTTTTCATAATGAATCATTTTCTACTTACTGAATCGGCTTCAGCACCTTTGGGTTTATATTGAAGCATCCAAGTTTCATTTTGTTTTGCTCGTGATCCTTGAATATCGAAACGAACTCGTAAATTTTCATAATCATACAATAATTGTTTAACACCTGGAAATGGTGAATCCCAAGAACCTATTCCACTTATATTCAATATTGCTTGAAATTGTTTTGGAAAACCATTTTGACTTAGACATTGATTAACAAATAGAATCAATAGCATCGACACTATCATTTGTTTCATTTTTCAAACTTTTTATAGTTTATTCGCAATAGTAGAAAAAATGTTTATTGAAAAAAACAGAAGAAAAATTATTTTTATATGCAGATGTTTTCTCTGTCATTATTAAGGATGATAAAAAATAGTAGTCCATCAGTCACTCACTCACACTGATCAGGATGATGCAGCAGAACGAAAGAAAAGAAATATATGCATTTTCTGTCTTATAGATAACGTACATCAGTGACAGAACAAAAAACAAGTGATTAGTGTGAGTGAGTGACTGTTATTTTTATGGAATTCACATATATTTTCGAAGAAAATGGTGAGTGTAAGTTTTGAGTCGAAGTTTTTAGCCCCAAAAGAGCTGCGCTGACAACCTTTTCCATCCCTATTAACACAGATATTATAGTACAATGCCAATTGTAATGTTATATGCAATGTAAGCCATCACTAAAATTGAATAGGCGTATTTTTTTTTCAATTTATAAGGCATCATCAATTATCAATTTTGTATTTCATAGAGAGTGGTCTATATTCTCATTTGAATAAAATATATTTATGGTGATCGATGCAAAACTCGCAGACACTGTTTCAGAAATGAGGAAAAAGTCTTTTTTCTGATGTAAATAAGTATGTAGTTACAAGGGGAATCACTCGAGGTGTACTGAAATTTTGTCCATAAACAGGTCTAATGATCCTTCGAATATCCTAAAAGTTTCAACCAAAACGAATATTCTTTTCTTGAGATATTGAATTTTCAAGCGAACTCGGTTTCTCCGGCCGATCTGTGGCAAGTGACTATTTTGTGAGAAATCAATATTTCGAGAAAGGAACATTCTTTTTGGCTGAAACTTTCAGGATATTCTAAGGATTATTAGACCTATCTATGGACAAAATCCAGTAAAACGGCCATAACTTTTGAAGGAAGGACCATGAGCAGAAATTCTTTTTGGCTTTTTACTACCTCAATATGCTCTATCAAACGAGATATGAATGAATGGAAACTAGATGTTTCACCTCGAGTGGTTCCCTCGTAAGATGCCTTGCGGTTGGAGTTCATTCGTATTTCATTAGATACGATCGACAGAGATCTTCACTATGAAGACGATTTTCACAACTTCACGATTACCCTAATCCTGGTAGTGTAAGATGATCGATTGATATGCAATAAAAGCAGTGGACAATCGAATTACGATACCTCTCGGCCTACGGGCAGAGCCCCCGCGAAGGTACAAAACGACGTTTTTGGAGAACTCTTGCTCTAACAATAATCTATAGCATCTTCTTGACTGTCGATGAAAATTTCAGAAGAATCCGTTCATGTACTTCACAGATATGACTTAAGAAAATGCGTATGTGCAGCGGCAACATTTTTTGCACTGCACTACTTTATCTTGTCACAATGTAATCATTAACTCTTTTCAACAACATAAAGAAGAAACCTGACCTCCTTCTACTGATTCATGTTAATAAACACACGTTCTCTTTCTCTCTTTTTACCGTTGCCTTCACACCGGTGATATAATATATTGCACGCAATCTTGTAATGTCGAAGCGCTGTGAAAGTCTTCGTCCTGTAAGAATTGAAAGTTTCTTCTCTTCCATAAGCGTCTTTTATTATTTATTAATGTGGCATTTCAAGACCAAAAGGCTCCTTCCTCCAATGTGATATAGAACGAAGACATGCTTATATAAACACGCACAACTATATATGTATACATTACAATTCTCGATGATTCT